ATATTAATTAATCATATAAAAGTTGTCGTTAGTATTGTTCTTATAAATAATAAAAAAAAAATATACATTAAAATAAAATTTGTACATATCGTCAAAATATGTTTTCACCATTCTTTTCGCCGGGGACTGTAAGCTTCTCAAAGTTGCTCATGGTTGTATTAACTTCAAACCTTCAATGAGTTTTACATTATTTAATTAGATAAATAAAAGGTCGTCAAGTCTCCAATTTTGCATAATTATCCATAATAATTCAGGTTCAATTTAGCGATGACTGTTCAGAAAGTAACCTAATAGAGTAATTGGTAATATTTTTAAATAAAATTGTAATTTTTTAATTTATTTTTTACAATAATTAGCATATAACTTACCCAAACGCCGTTCATTCTTTCGAATGAGTAACACCAGAAGGAATATAACGGCCCATAATCTCTGTAACATTCAGTGATATGAAGTGACAGATGAATGTTTGGTGTTATCATTTCCTTTCCATAATTTTCTTCAACTAAACGAGCAACTATTAGTAATCGGAAATGGGCTTCATTTAAGACATTATTATCAATAATACGTGTTGTTAGTAAGAAGCAAGCCTTTAAAAAGTTAGTCAAAATTTTCTGATCTTTCTCGCTTAATAGGTCCCACATCAATGGAGTTGCATATATCATGATAAAAGATTTCCATTGATCGGCTGTAAAACTAGAAAATCCTTCACCAGTTGCTATTTTGAATGGAATTCTTCTAAGATCAGCAGGTACCTTAATACTTTTTGCCCATTTCTCCATTAACTCAAGATCAGATTTTGAAATTTTTCCACTTTCGATCCATAATCACTTTACAATCCAGTGAGCGATTTCCAAGAACAGGCAATGCATAGGATTCATGACCAAATGTTTAATTGGATTGTGATAAGGCAAACGAAGCATTTCGGATCACCTTACATGGGTTTTACTAACATGTTGCTTTCTATCATCTTTTGTTTATTGTTTCTTTCAAATGATAGCATTACGACGATACTCTATTGGGTCTTTTACTTTAAACCAATTAGACATGTTATCGAACCTTCCAAAGTTTGGTCTTTGACCATCTTCACTGCTTGCTCTTTTGTAACACCTATGACATCCTACCAATGCTGATATATGACCGCATAATTTTTTTGCGGCTGGAATGTCATTGCTGCAACATATTACAGCTATTCTGATATTTCTATCAACGGAATGATCATGGGTTACTGATAAGTCAACACCATTCCAAAATTCTAACAATATATTTACTATCAGAGCAAGATAGTGATTTATTTTATGTAATTTAACCTCTTTAGGTCCTGGTAGAAGCCCGAGGGTTAACATATTCTCTTTTTTAAATCGGACATTTCGTGTGAGATTGCAAATTATCCCATATATGACACCACAACTGTAAGCTGCTGATTCAAATGGTTAAAACCAATCTAAATTTATCATTATCCCCAAATGTGAATTTGCAGCTTCATGTATGAAAAATCGAGAGGTATTTGGTATATCAAGACATGATAAAAAAGTTTTCCATACTTCACCATCATATATATCTGACAACATTCCAGGCCCAACATCACGATCGACCCATTTTCTTAAAAGCTGTTCAAAACCCGGCCTTTTGTACATTGTGGATATTTGGGTCTTTAAACATGGTATCAGGTATAACATTTTTGGTCTCCATATGTATCCATCAACTACCGGGACTTTTATCAGCAATTCTGACCCACAAGATTTACGTTGATTTCATTGGATGGTTCAGAAACTCAACATAATTACATTTGAATCCTTAATCTTCACTATTTGGTTGGTTTACTGGTATAATTTCTTTAACATTGTTAAGCCTAAACACTACGTTGTTAGGATAACAAAGCTTATTTGCTAACAGGGAGTTTAAGTGGTAAACTATGAAAGAAATAAACACGAATT